GGTGAGCCAAAGCTTGGATGTGATCTTTTTGCTGCTAATGCGACACACCCATGCCGTCTTCGACCTCACCTTCGACTGTAATGTGGCAATTTCTTGATGCCAATGCCAGCTCACTTGGACATGGCAAAAGTCGCCGAATTATGCGTCGCAAATGTGGATGTAGACTGGACCTGGTATGCATGACAGTCACACATCTACATTTCGGGAATACGTAGTAAATAAAAACATAACACTTTAGAAAGATAAACTAACCAGATTGAGGATGACCTTAGCTAGAAGATAGGCACTACTGACTTTCGCTTTTGTCCAAGGCTTAACAGACAGAGTCAGGTGGAGGATCCACTTTAGGTGGAATTTGAATGATAACAGACCCAAAGTATGGGTCAAACTGATATAAACCCTATTTAAAGCAGTAAAATTATGTGCTATTTGAGTAATAGACATTACTTAGCAGTAAATTCAACCTTAGACTCGAAGTTTAACATGTGTATGGCGTCATGAAAATCCAAATCTACTTATTTGCCTATAAGTAGTTGGTCAAGAGCAGGGTTGACTTAAGTGGGTAATTAAACATCTCTCCCTTACAGAATACAACCACTTTCGCTCCCACATACGTATTCCGGCGTGAAAAATGAAGATTTATGCTATTTAACCTAGCTGTAAATGCTCACGCAACCAAGTTGGTCCGATAGGTAGCCGAGGCGACGAAGCAGATAAACTTGTGGACAGTTTGGAGTAATGCGGAAGACCTTTCTAAGTTCATTTGCATTTTAGTACCCTGGCATACAACAATCAAAAACGTGTATTTAAAAGATTTTTTGAGACTCTAAAAATGCGCATTTGACAGGGCATTGTTATCGCGTTAATCATTACTTAATTTCCCTCCAAACTTTAAATTAAAGACTAAACTGTGCTGATTCAAACAATAATCAATTGTAATTTCCTCTCAACTTTCCTAATAAAATGCTCGAACTAGCTCGAACGAGTACTACTAGTGTCTCATTTTTTTCTTCGGGTGAAGAAGCAATCAAGGATGTATTACTTGCTTGCGGGTTACTCGCACCACAAAGAGCGGAGTCCTACCGCTCTGACAAGCCTCGCTTGAGTTTCTAAGAGGGCGGCAGACGATAAAAAGGGCGTTACAAGGGGCAATAAGTGATTTAGAGACTCTTAAGTTGCTTTAGCGGTGTAGATTGCAGATGATGTCTTTAAGCACGCCTTTCGTAACTTCAACGTTTGGTTTTTCCCCCATGTGACAACTAAGTCGCTTCACCGATAGCGGCATGTTTAATTCAACACTTTCTATTTCCTCTACTTATGCTTTTCAAGGGGCCTACATAAATCCTTCCTACATCAATATTGTCATATAAAGGTGTAAGTTACGACATTTTGGATGCGTTTAATGGGCCATGGTGGAAGACAACATTTCAGTCAAGTACAATATTTCTAGCACGACATAAGGGTTGAAGCAAATAAGATTTTAACAGGTTATCTTTTAACTTTCCACTTGATTTTCTTATTTGCATTAAGAGGAAGCTAGTTTCGAATGGGCTGAGATTCATAGAACTGATGAAAATTTGAAAATTCGGTCTAAGGAGCTTACTGCTGCAAATTCAAGGCATGTATTGCGTAAGACTTAGGTAAAATGACCCGCGGAAAATGAGTAGGCCTGCATGCCTGCTTTACTTTGATTGGTCTATCTCCTGTCCAATCAGGATGCGAGCAGCACTTCTGTTCTGTGTGGATCAAAGAATTTCTCAGTATTTGTGATCAGATGCTCTGTTTAAAAGACGTAAGGGAGTTCCCTAGAATTTTTTGAATTGGATTTCCTTTGGCCTATCTGTATTAGTCTCATTACTTCAGCGAGCATATTCGATGCGCATAGCCCTTCCATCCACAACTAAGAAAAGTAGAACTCGCAACACACTCAAACTTGAATTGACCGGAGTAATTCAGCTAATGTTACCGTCCCACCACACTATAACGCAAAAACATTTTGATGGTCAATGTCTATGAACTGCATTTTTTGTTTTTGTGCTTTTAGGATACTAAAGAAATCTAGGGAGATTACAAACTACCAGAAATTTATTATTGTTGTTTCTTTGTGTGTGAATGCAACAATTTAGCCCCTGCGATTGGGTTTCCTCTCATTTTAAGGCCAGTTCCACGCCATCATCCCCGTTGGGCGCGGTTTAAGAATCACAAACACGTATTACTCTGATTGTTTACAAGGTTTCTCAACATTTGTCCTTATAAAAAAACAAAACCGCACTAATTCTCGTAGCGTGTTTGCTCTACTCGTTAACCAAAACCAGAAGCAGCTAGTTATAGGTGTTTGAGCTCCCAGAAAACTGGTTCTGGTTGATTTCCTATCAGTTTTAATTGGGATTAATCTACGAGTCTTCTGGAAGATGCACTTTGTCTCATTCTCGCCCTCCTCCTCCCGATTGGCTCGCATCAAGCAAAAGATGCACTTTACCTGTGCTGACTTGAAGGCCAAGGTCAATCAACTGCTATAACTACGCGTCTTTGAAGGCGCTGACAGACAAATGATTTACACTTTAGCAGGCACCAATCGCTCATTTTTAGGCACTATCTCACCAACTTTGGTGCTAAAACACTTGTCCACCTCCAGGCTAATTGCGGACTCCTAAAAGGTACGATGACTTGAGCGCACAAACTTCATGTCGTGACGGTGCGTGGCATAAAATGCAACCGAAGGAGTAAAAGTCGTCTAATCCTTCTCCATTCTCTTACTTAGATGATCTCGGCGTCGGCTGCAAATAGGCTCTGCAGGGACCAACAATCCTGTGAGTTCTTCCTCGACGCACTATCACTGCTTCTTGGCCTTTTTTTCTGATGATGGTACTCATTTTTTATGTGTATTTTGCAACAAACAGTGAAGCGAAATATGTTCAATCTCTGTCAACCCTGACAATAAGCTTAGGGCAAGAAAGTTGTGAGGGCTATGAGGAGAGTCCGATTACTGGTTTGGTGAAGGCCACTTGATAAAATCAACACTCCAAACCTTGAAATCAAACAACTTCTCCAGAGGCCAAAAGATGCTAATATAAGAATAAAATTACACGAAATAGTTGTCGTTAGTTCGAGACTACCTTCACCAGATTATGGCAGACTTTCACAATAACGTAGCAACTACTTCTTGACGCCCTCTCCTCCCAGGCAAGGCATTCAGCTGCTCTCTTTACCACCAACCAGACGACTACATCAAGTCATAGATTTCATTCTACAGTTTTGGCCTATCCTGTTCTGATTTCCATTTTATTCACATTTATTCCTCTGTTTTTCATCGCACTCTTCCTCGATGTCCCATCAACTACTTCAACTGGTGACTACTTTCAATAACGAACTGTAATTTCATGCCCCTGAACCAGATCTCCAAAACTCCATTTGTTCCCCAAATTGTGTTTTAAGGAGTGGAAGAGTTGTCTTGGATTTTTACCTTGGAGCTTACATCCCGGCGAAATAGGAGAAATTTCTTTTTGCATCTACAGTAGAACAAACGATTAGCCAAACCACTCACTTCACACAACAAATTCATTGTTAAGCTCACCATCTCGCAATTTTGAATGCTTTGATGTAGACAGGTGGATCCGTGTGCCGCGTTTGACAGTCTGACAGGCACACCTTTTGAGCGGCCGCTATTTAAGCACTCTTGATGAAATTTGGAGTCCACAATTCGCCGATTTGTGTGGCTCGAGGGATTTGAAATAACCAGAAGAAGCTGTCATTCGTCACCCTTTAGATGCATAGATTGGTTCTGCATTTCATTTAAAATCCGCCTTTAGCTCAGCCCCCAACCTCAGACAAGTTTTCATCTAAATGATTCCAAGTCAGAGGACTACAAGGGTGGGCTCCGAGACATTGGTATTACCACATGTCATTTTTGCTCCTCAGCAGTTTGGACTCTGGTGCGTTGCGTTTGGTAGTTATCGAAACATTTGCTTCACCACAACAATTAATGAAAGGAGAACTGTACTGATCTCCTCCTCCTCCTCCTCCTCCTCAGTGGTTGAACAATTCAACACCGATCGTCTCTACGTCCGAGTGGTTGGATAGAGGATTTGTCTTAGGTATTAATTGGGGAACAGTGTAGTTTAAAGTAGAGAAGTTTCCTTCCTCTTACTTGCTCTTTCGTTTCATTTTCAATGAAGGCAACTTCGTCAAATAAACACGAAGCATACCCTTTCAACTTTTAGTGGCACAGAATTGAACATTGAGGGCACGAAGTAGTGGAGCAGCCGTTGTATGTCGCATTAAGCGCGATACTTGGAGGATCTGCTTTGAAACGGAAAATCAGTGAATTCAACAGGCTCGACATCTAAAGCGGGTCAAGTCAATGCAAGTCAGAACGGTATCGGTTCATAAAAATTATGGTAATTCTACATATCTTTAAATAGCTTTGTTCACTTTATATTCAGGGATAACTTCTCCGACTCCCCATGGGGAGAAACTCAAATTTTTCCTTAATATCTGACCGGTAAAAAAGAACAATGGACAGTGAACGCGCAAAGCCTAGCGTCACTAACTTTATTTCTATTCTTTAATGTTGAGCGACTACTTTAGCGCATTATTTAAAGGAACAACAACTTCACATCCACGTCGTACATTCGAAACTCTATCTCACGAGTCTTTCAAAACTTTATTTGCATAAAATAAGTAGTGGATGTGACGAAAGGAATAAAAGATATTTGAAGCACTGAATACAGATAATCAGCTCCCTATGCTGGATAATTCTATCGAGCAAGGGATTGTTACAATCCTTTCGATTGAATAGGTGTCTTAAACTGACTTATAATTTTCTTCGCTTATGCAGTGAAACACAAAATGTAATGCGATAAACCACCGATAAGACGATGACCCAATAGGAGACGAGATGGAAGCGAACCAATCAGAAGGCGCTTGGCTATCTAATTTTGATAATATAAAGGACAACTCAATAACATTCTATCAGTTTTACGCTCACAATGAGGTGTGCGATGTTAATCCACCTTGTACTTCTCCTTACACTCGTCTGCTCTGCTTACTGCACAAATAAGGTGCTCTTCATCTCCTTCGATGGCTTCCGACACGACTACCTCGACATGGCAGCAGAGAAAGGAAAGAATATATCAGCTTTCAAACAGATCCGTGAAGCCGGCTTCCAAGCGGAGGTGCAGAATGTGATGATAACACTGACATTCCCCTCTCACTATGCCATGGCAACGGGTCGCAATGTGGAGAACCATGGCCTTGTCGGCAATAGCTTCCACGATCCAGAAACATGGGCATCCTATTACTATACGAATTCCACCAATAACATACAATCGTCATGGTTTGAGTATGCGGGTGCAGAACCTCTTTGGG